CATGCCGTTCCGCTACAGCGCCCTGATGACGCCTCGCAACGCCGTGTTAGTGATCCTCTCCACGTGGCTGCTGGCCTTCCTCATCGGGCTGGTTCCCATGATGGGCTGGCACAAGACGCCGCCGGAGTCAGGCCACTGTTTCTTCACTGCGGTGGTAGACATGACCTACATGGTTTATTTCTGCTTCTTTGCCTTTGTGCTGACACCCTTGGTGATCATGTTTCTCATCTATGCCAAGATTTTTTTGACGGTCAAGCGCCAGTTGAGGCGCGTCGTGTGTAAGCAGAATGGTGGAGGGCAGGCGACAGCCAGCATGCGGAGAGAGATTAAGACTGCCACCACACTCTTCCTGGTTCTTTTCTTGTTCACAGTCTGCTGGATACCGCTACAAGTCATCGACTGCTTCCTGCTGCTGTGCCCACACTGCCCCGTGCCGCTCGAGCTGCTGCTCACTGCCATCCTCCTGTCACATGCCAACTCTGCCATCAACCCCTTCCTGTATGCATACACCATGACAGCATTCAGAGACACCTTTAGGGACATTTTCATGTGCTGTAGGACGACGGGAGAGAGAGATGCTTCGAATGCAGCCAGCGGTGTCGATAGAGAAGGAGCGACTGTCCGAAACACACACTAGAGCTGAGACACTGAACACTGTGTGTCACTGTAAGTACCAAACCTACGATAATAAATAGTATCTATTTTTCTTTGTCTCACCCTTCAGTTTTTACAGCAGGAAGCCTCTTCTTAAGTTCCTCCTTATCTTCTGCCCTCAGTGCGTTGAAACCTTTGAGCTGAGCGGCGCTGTATTCAGGTTTGAAGGCCAACTCCTCCCTGTTGCTCACGAAACACGCAGTGTGGTACCAGCGGTCGATCAGACCCAGCTGGGGCTTCTCTGGGTCCACAGTTTTTTTGGAGACACGGATCTGATCCTAAAGGACACAGCCACAGACTCAGAAACAATTCCCTATGATGAAACATATTATATGTAATATATATGTACAAATGAATGCATTGGTCGAAAAATGTCTGCTAACCTTTTCTATTTTCAGATCACAGCCTTTGCATGTGCTGCGGTTTGATTTGGCATATTCTACTGCAAAGTCATTTAGTGTCTTCTCTCCTTTGGCTCCACCCTTCTGGTCTCCTTTTCCTACAAAAAAATAAGTCAGTCAATTTGAATATTCAAGCAAACCAAGTGTAATCACGTCATTCAAAATGTATATATTTATGTATGCAAGATATCTGAATATAAATATACAACAGAATGTTCATTTTAACTCATGACTAGGCGATGTAAAAGCTAGATATTTTATAAAACAATAGGTATCTCCAGTAGAACCTCCTCTGTAAGATACTACAGTATACAGAGTGATCTCAATTATTTCTAATAGCCTGTGTGTTTCGTTTTTTTTACTGATAAAAGGGGGAAAAATAAGTTTTAACAGTATACGAGAATGAAGCCACTGCTGGCTGTGGGTAAGCTACCCTATATTGATGTGCACACCTGTAGGACAGACAGTGAAAAGTCAGCTGCTCCACTAACGAGTGGTTCAAATAAATAAGATCAATAATTTGCTCTACTATCTTCACTGAGTCACACTGGGATCATAACATGTTGTGTGTGGCAATAAGTCAAATGCTAAAAGATGATGCACTGACCTCCTACTGCTCCTCCACTCTCAATGGCCTTCTTTACTTTCTCCTGGTCGTCCCAGCGCAGGTCAGAGTAGCCCGCTATATCAGCCGTGGACTGAGCTGCAGCTCTCAGCCAGAAGCAAGAGAAGTGGTGCCAGTGGGGAACTTTCCCATCAAACATGGGTGACTGTGGGAAAAAAAAACAGAGTATGTTTACAGTGAGACCCATGGTGATATGGGATGGGAGCCTCCGAACATGAGACAGAAATGTGAATCGGACCAGTGAATGACTCCTAACTGAGGCTTACGAGAGAATATTCTTTCATTTTCAAATCTACTATTGCAAATGTTTCCTTATGTATAACAAATGATGGTCCATAATAACTGATGTTTTGTCTCTCAAAAAGAAACTATAGTGTAGAGAAACAATTTATTGACTAAATAAAAAAAGGTCTAGCTTTATGCTCTCCATGAAGACTGGGCGGTGTCTTTTGCTGAATAACATGCTTTTTTTAATTTGGTGTTCAAATGAGGATACAACATATGTTGTTCAATACAATGATGAGATGTACAATAAGTTACAAATGTTTCACCAAACCAATGCCATATAAGTCCAAGTGGGCAGGGCACTTTTATGAGCATGGCACAAGAAAAAAAAACTACTTTTTCTGTTTGTTTTTTAATGAAATGACCACTGCTTACTTGACTGGCTTCAAGAAAGAAAAGTCACTGTGAGATTGAGAATCTGGAGCTGCTCCATGAAGAAGGTTTCTGAGCCTCTAAGTTAATTAATTCTCTCTGTGGGGCAGCAGCCTGACTTTGCATTGAGGTAGTGCTGCTGCTGCTATTCTTGTTCCAGAAGCAGATTCTCACTCAGTTGTGTAAGTGTAGCATTTAAGCATAACCTCAGGATGCATTCAAATGTATGACAAAACCTTAATGCATAGCAGGATGCGCACTGAGAGTCCCCTAGGAAATGCTCAGCGGCTCTTTGTGAACAAGATTCAACAGACAATGTCAGCCATGTAAATGCTAACGAGGGCCTAACCTAACAAAACTGAAACCAAACTATACAATACATGTGTTCATTCTCCCGCCAGTTTATAAATATCCACTATATTCGCCGAATAAACCACCTAAATTACCAAAGCTAACACTCTGGTGGTAGGCTAGTTAGCAGTTTCTCCAGATTACTGTCTGCAGACGTCGTTACCTGCACCATGATGGCCATTCTCAGCGAGTCTTTCGCTATGTTTTCTTTGCATTTCTTGCACGATGCACGGCCGCTTTTGGCATATTCCGCCTTGTACAGCTTGTCCTCTTGAGACTCCGCCATACTTCTTTAATATCACAGCGAAATAAAAGGAAATGACTGTTAGGCTAACTTTCTCCGGATGACTAGGAGCCACAACAACCAATGCTGCACAGAGAAGCGAAACTGGCCGCGTGCCTGCATGGCTCCAGAGGGGGAGACCCGCGTGAAGAGCTCTCACTCTGTCTCTGTTTCCTGATACCAAAACACCAGCAGCTCTTCAAATGACACATTATCAAATGTAAATAGACTACATTTATACAGTGGTGTAAAGTAACTAAGAACATTTAGTCAAGTACTGTTCTTAAGTACAATTTCATGATACTATTACTCTACTTGAGTATTTACATCTTTTGCTACTTCGTACTTCTACTCCACTACAATTCATAGGTAAATCGTGTGCTTCTACTCCACTACATTTGTTTTATACCGTTAGTTTCTTTGCAGATTTGGATTAATGACCTGAAATATAATCAACACTTAAATTCAACAAACGTAAAGTTATAAATAGCGATATATGTAAAGTGAACATAGGCCTATAGTAATACCAATACACTAATTAACCCCAGTGCAAAATAGAATAACAACAGAAGCAAGATCGTCTACATTTAGAAAACAAATATTAAACTAAAATAGAAACTTAACATTGCACATGATAGTGAATGTTATAATGGCAATGATATAAAAAGTGCTCTTCACACTGACTTGAAACTGGGCTTAAGTAATACAGATTTGGACTCGCTAGTTCAATTCCTTAATAAGACAGCAATAGACAGACCTACATTGTAACATTTCAGAATCAGAATCAGAATATGTTTTATTACCAAGTAGGTTTACACATACGAGGAATTTGCTTTAGTATTTACAATATTTACACATGACAAATACTATATACTGTAACATATGTCTTTGTTATTTAAAAAGCAACAGTAAAACAACTTTAAAACAATTTGTTCGGCCAATCAGAGATCTTGAAGATTGGAAAGTATTGGACTTGATATTTGACTTTAAGTTGCCCTTAAAGAAGTATTTGTGACCACTAATCATGTTTGTTATGCTATATCTGTCTCTTAATTAAAGACGAACTCACTTTTTCCAAACACCGAGTGATGCATCTTTCGCAATAGACGAACAAGGAGTCGGCTGCAGAATACCCGCGCGATTAGCAGCCAGAAATAATTGAGTCAGGAGAAATCGTCCAGCAAGGAAGGCGAGAGGCTGTGTTCAGACCATGGATGTATGGTTCAGACTGGGACAACACTTCCATTGTTTTTAATAGAACCGACAATGGTAGTTTTGTTATCTGACAGACCCCTTGAGACTTTGGTTTGAAAATGTATCACATCTTTGGGGATGATTATATCAGAATAAATCATATGCAGAATTTAAATTAAATAGCACCACCGATTTTGTATTAATTACAGGTTTTATTAGCAGAACATAAACACATTTATTTATTTTTGGAAAAAAATATGAAAAAACAAACATAATATCGATGGAAAGGTGAATCTGTCAATGTCACAATTTAGCTGTTACATATTACATTTGCAAAATGCCAAATGTTTGTAATACACAGCCTCATTTTAAATGCTCATTCATGTGTTAAAACATTTTAATCTGAGGTATAAACAATCGGATTATGGATTAATTAATATTAATTTAAATGTATACACTTTTGTATTCATATAAATACTATTCATTAATGTTTTCTTATTTTGGAGCAATTTTATTTACCAGATCACATGTCAAATTCCTTAGGAAGTCCCATATGCCAATATTATCCTTCAGTCAACATAAAAACACATCATAATTAGCAGTAGTAAGGTGTTTTTTATGTGACAGTGACAATATGCATTAGATCAACAATATAACATAACATCATGATTATTAGAGTTAGAAATAACAAAATAGATGCAGAATAAAACAGTAAACACTGCAGCATTGTGTAGGCCATTGAAGAGGTCTGTGAGAGGTATCTGGTATTTTGGCTTAAAGGTCTGAGGTATTTCTGGAGTCTTATCCCAGTAAAAACATTTTATAAATAAAAATACATGTTGGTCTTTGTTAGTTTTGCACAAAATGAAAGTGATATGCTTAATACTCCTTGTAAAGCTTAGATATGGCATTGCAAAAGAGAAAGCAGAACCCTCAAGATGCTCATTAAGACTGTAAAAGAACCCAGTATGACGTTAGGTCCTCTCTAAGCAAAGTTCATGGACACATGGATCTATTCTTCAGTTAAAGATTGAAGCTGGACTTCTGAACTGAAATCTGCCCATGTATGAACAATAGAGCCCAAAATATTGCAGAGGAGGACACAGTCTGCAGGAAGAAAGGCTCTGGTAGGATTCAGATCCTGTTTGTGCAGCTAATTTTGTTATGGCAAAGTATGAGACACACACAACAAAGCTGTAAACCATTAAAGAAACAATATGGCCAGGCCGTGTCCTTCCCCACATTCAGTCATGTGAATCTATAAGTCCTTTCATTGTTTAATTCAGCAGCCAGAGCGACTGAACCCCCCATTGGTCTCTCTTATCTTCTCCTTGTGTCTGGCCTGGACAAGACTAAACACCACTGCTGCCAGCGTCATGCGGCCCCCTGTCCGCGCCCCCTGGCGATCTGTGCCCATATAGGCCCTCTTGCTGCGCGAAGTGCTGATGAAGTAGGTGCGGACTTTCCCCTGACGCTCGCTCACCTGCAATGAGAGCAGCGGTCACATCATTATTTCTCAATGACCCTCAAGATTATTTTTGAAAAGACCTCTTCACAAACTAGATGGGTCCCTGATTATACTGTTTTTCATCAACATTATAGGTCTCAGATATATACAAAACATGTCTCTGAAGTGTTTTGCTCGAAATACCAAACAGATCGTGCATTGTGGCATCCCATAAACCCCTCTGTTTCAGCCCTGTTTCAAAAGTGCTGATTCTATCTGTTACTTTAGATGAAAATAAGGAGCCACTCCCCACGCCCCTCTGCGAGATATTTGGTTAAAAATAACACAATGGTGCTCTAGGAGGAGATTCAGGTGATAAGGTGGGCGGGGGTGTTACCTTAGTTGGTTATTGGCTAATGGTTACACGAGCCAAAAAAATCGTTATGACATCACAAAGTGGCCAAAAGCTGATCAGCTCATTTTCAGACAGGTTTTAAATGGATCAGGAGGACAAAAAGTGAGCGGCTCTTTTTTCCTGAAACTTTCAGAATCTCTTTACACATGTTTATGTATAAAAGACATGAACAATTGGATTTTGCATAATAGGTGACCTTTAAAAACTAGACATTTCATACACAAGTGTCCCTTCCTGAACAAGGATGTAACTCAAGAAATAGAGTTGTTACTTTTCACCAGCAGATGTCCCTCTTGTTTAATTTGTCCTATGGGCTAAGCTTTTATTTCTTAAACTGTTTTGAATTCTGCTTTAAATGAAAAGTTAAAATCTAAATGGACAGCCACTCACCCCCTTGATGAAGATTTCTCCACGTAGCTCCAAGATGAAACCCCATTCTGCCAGGATCCTGCACGTGGCCTCAGGAACCTGGATGCGCCCGCTCACCCCCGTGCTGTCCATGCGGCTGGCCAGGTTCACTGTGGACCCCCAGATGTCATACTGTGGCTTAGTGGCACCGATCACTCCTGCCACCACCGGCCCGTGGGCAATGCCTGATTAAGTGAAACACAGACACATCATTCACTTTAGACAAATTAGTCATACATCCAACACCAAAAATCCCTACATAGAACATTTTGTATCAACCATCTATTGTTTGTAGGAGGTGAGACACTTACCCACACGCAGCTTAAAGTTTTTGAAAGTTTGCTTGTTAATGTCCATCAAGGTCTCTTGCATTGCCAACGCAAACAAAACCAGCTCACTCAGGTGATTCCATTCATCCATAGATTCCTGAGAGAGACGCAGAGACAGTTTTATTTAGAGAGAGAGAAAGGAGGATATTGGAAGGGTAAATACAGTCAAAACAAAAGATAGCACAATGTGTGGAAAAATATGTCCCACCTCTCTGTCTGGAGCCAAGCCTGAGGCCGCCATGTAGCAACTCCCAATCGTCTTAATCTTCTCCACATAGTGGAAGTAGGAATCCTCCAACAGCTTGTGAAATAATATTAAGAGAAACAGAAAACAAATTAAACTTCAATCTGACAAATAGAGTTATGACAACATTTGTCAATAGCTCGGCCTGAAATAAAGCACGTTATCTATGTTATAATTAATATTAGTATTATTATTGAATGTTTATTAGATTCTTTATATTCTTTCACCTTAGAAGTCAGGTAAGGAAATACTAAATTCATACAAATATTTGAAATGCAGTTAATGTTTTTATTGCTCTAATTTATATAAGTCAAAAATATACTGTATTATCTACTATACTACTTTGCATACTTAACATTTGCCTTTAAAACAATGCCATAGATGGAGTATTTTTGGCTTTTATACATCATACATAGAGTCATACAATGATCTGAATTCACTCTATAGCTTTCATTTCAGTCCCATTCTTACCTCATCAAAGCTAGCAATGATCTCATTCAGGAGTCGGAGGCAGTCCACTCCCTCATGCTTGATCTCCTTCTGCTCAAAGTACTCATTGAACCCAGCGATGGAGGCAAACATGACACCCACTTCATCGTAGGATTGAGAGTAAAGCTCCTGAAATGAAAATGGTGTCATGACTTTCATCCTAAAAGACCTTTTGTTTGACTATTGATATGTTATGACATTTTATTATCACTCCAAAACATCAATCATTCTCTCCAAAGGTTACAGTTATCGATAAACTGTACAAATACGTGAAGGCGTTCAGTGAAAATGTTTGTATAAAACAAGAACATTTCAAGAACATCTTCTTTATCATGATGTTAGCTCCGCTTTAAACAAGGTTAACACAATAGCAACAGCAAACACATACAGACATTCACAATCACCCAATCGGGATTTAAATTAGACTTGGATTATTCTCACTGTAGGTTTGTGCTCCCTTGATAAAGGCAACAAACGTAAAAATAATTACAGAACAAAAGCATAATTAAAAGGGAAGCTTTCACAGTGAGGCCATGTTTACGGCACCTCATCATTCTTGCTTCGGTCCAGAAAGTGTCGGGCCACATGGACAGGCAGGATGTTGTGTAATAGACACTCGTTGTGTTCCCGAAGTTCCCTCATGTCCTCCACTTCCTTTTGGGCCTGCAGACGCCACAGGAAGTCCAGTCTGGCAGTGGCCTCCCACTGAAAAGAATAGGACAGATAAAACCATCAGAGGTCATGCATCTTATCTTATGCATGTTAGAAAAATATCAGAATGATGACGGACTAAAATCCATAAATCCCAAATCAAAGTTCAACAGTACCTGCCGTCCATTGTAGAAGACAGCAATAATAAACATGACCATGAGGGAGATCGAAATTCCCTTTCTCCTGACGAAGTGAGACCTGTGCAAATATGAATAAAGAGGGGTTGTTATAGAGATGCACATTTTGAGAAGTAAGAGAAGTATAATGGTGGAATATAACATTATTTAATCAAATACTGTATTTACTCGTACTTTATTTGACACTATTTATATTATATTATAGAGTAATACTTTACTTTACTACCTAGAAGTATAACAAGTATCTACAATTGGCTCCACATTGCTGCTCTTGAATGTATTTGTGATAAAAACAGAATAGTGTAGGATATATAAATGGCAAATTTAAACTTAACTACTAACATACATTGAATCACAACAAATCAAATCAAATCAAAGTTATTATAGCCCCACATCACAAGAAATGCCTCAAAGGGCCGTACAAAGCAAACAAAAGCAAAGACAAAAACAAAATACAAACGTCATAGCATAAAAATTATAAAAAACATTTTACAACATTATACATCAACTTAAGTATTGCCATGTGATAAAAGCATGTGACTGTAGTGATGGAAATACAACAGCCATTGAAATACTAAAACTTTTTAAAAAGCTAAACAATTAGAAACCAAGTTCAGCCTGGGAGGTCCGGGTTATATTTCCCACTGACCGTTGAGTCATATCATGGCGTGTGAGTGTGAGGAAGGCCAGGTGGATGAGGTAGGAGTAGACGGCCACGGCCAGCAGCAACACAGCCAGCTTCAGCAGAGAGTTCAAACGCAGGAACACAGCACAGGTCACCATGGCGATTACACCACTCAATACAAAGACCTGAGGAGACAGAGGGAGAGAGGAGAGGGTTGAAGACACTGAGGAACAAAGTGATAAGATGACTGGATGGGAGATAGTCAGAAAATGTCCGAACAACTTCAATAAAATGCTTAACACTAATAGCGTGTTAAATGCACAAGTGCTTTTACCTCAGGGCAAGTGCAGACAGTGAGCGGGTGTGAAGCTGAGCTTGTTTTGTCCATAACATCAGCCTCCTCTGTGTCTGTGAGAATGCACCATACCTAGACACAGGCACAACACACAAATAAAGGAAGTTACATTAAAACAATGACAACTAGCAAAAGAGGTACACGATTAGAATCAGGAAGAAAAAGGATTTGCACTTCTTCAAGCCTTTTTCAGGGAGTATGTCAGTATGCTTTAGACGAGTTTGTTTATAGTTTTAAGCATTGAAATGATTTTGCCATTTACAAATAGGCACGTTAATTGTTTGAAATAGGAGTTTTTATGTGATTTTTGTGTCTACTTGTAACCTCATTCAAAGACCACTTTAAACAAACTCTATTCGAGTCCAAAAAGTGCTCCTCCCCAAAGCTGTCTCTTTCCAACATACTGTACACAGTTCTCTTTTAGACGGTTTCATGTGCAATCTGTGTATGGAAGTGTCGTTTTCTTGTCATTTGAGGCTCATTTTGAATGTCAGCAGGAAGGCACACCTTTCTCCATTATGCATAGTTAAGTGTGGGATCATGCAAACAGCAGGAGAATTTGCTTATGTTCATGTGATTTGCAAAGTACAGTCTAAAGTGGAAATCTCTCAGACACAACCAGTACAGCAGTATAAAAGTAACATTTGCTGCACATAATTCAACTTTATTCAATAAATGCATGTTTCTAGGTCTGGCCCTGTGTTTTAGGCTCTCACCATGTTAGTAGACACCAAGCCAAAGTTGAGGAGTATGGCGGTGAGGGTGAGGAGGTTGCGGGCGCTGTTGTTTTCATGGATCCAGCCGCAGATTTGCAGTAGAGTTGCAGGCGTACACATGAACTCTTCAGCCAGGGCCAACATCAGCAGCAGCATGTAGAGGAGCAGGAAGACCGAAAACAGGATGATGACTGGGAACAGACTGCAGAGGAAGAACAAGGGAGGAATGGAAGGGAAACAGGAAGGACGTGAGTGAAGTAGTGAACATGTATATCATGGGTAGAATAAAGAAACAAGAATTCTGTGACAAATGTTCAAGACTATTGCAAACTGTAATTCCCGGTACTTCCTGCAGATGGCATTAAAGTAAAAACAGAATCAGAATCGCAATGGGGAAATTATTACAAAGAAGAGAACAGACTTTCATATTTAAAAATAACTAAGTATGCACACCATATTAATAATAAAAAAACACAAAAGGTAAAAAACAAACGGCAGATAAGTACACCATGGTAAAAAAAAGTAGCAGTATTTAAACATGAAAACCATAAACATAGTGGTTTTAAAATCAGATAAAAATAGCTTTTATATTAATCTCATTATAATGCGTCAGATTTAGTTTTTCTTTTGAATGACACTGTGAAACAAAATACAGAAATTAAAAGTTACATTTGAGATTGTTCTCTATCTAGGAATACAGATTATTAAGGACTTTTAATGTTTCATCTTGTAGTTCTTGGTATACACGGAGAACTTGATAAAGTTATATTAATGTTAAATTCCAATGACCGTAAACACATTACTTTTAAAGCATTAAAGGTGGGGTAGGTAAGTTTGAGAAACCGGCTCGAGATACACTTTTTGTTATATTCCATGGAATGCTCTTAACATCCCGATAGCAATGAATATCTTAAGTGCTTTGACAAAAAATCCATAAAAAAATGTCATCTGTGGAAGCCGTAATACTGTAAAAAGCACGACCAATCATTTTAGCCGGCCCGGCTAAAATAACTGGATGGCCTACCTGCCTGTCAGCCTTCCATCTGTGCACAAACTTATCTCGTGCCCTCATTGGTCATGTGCGCGTTCGTGTGTGTTGGAGGAGGAGCTCTATAAGGAAGTGGCAGATTTTCTCCGGTTGTGTATTTTCAAATTCTAGCGATCTCGAGCCGGTTTCTCAAATGTACCTACCCCACCTTTAAGCTTTAATAAAAAGGCTTAAATTAACCGTTCAAACCTGATAAACCAAAAAGATGAAATTGTCAATGTGAATTATGTGAGATTCGATTTGATGATCTTAGTGCCTCCCTACCTGGGTGCAGAAATGAGGGTCTGAACAACCATGAGAAAGAGGAACATGATGAAGGAGCACACCAGGTTGGAGTTGAACATTTCATCTCTCATCTGGCAGAACTAGACAGACCGAAAGAGATCAAAAACAACATGATTTAATCTGGGGCATTAACAAATTTCCTCGTCTTGATCACACAAAAGACCTGCTTACCTTTTCCTCAATGTGAGTGTCTTTGAACACCAGGGTCAGGGGGGTGATGTGCTCCCTGTGCATTCGATCACTGCTTCGAACCTCAATAGCGTGTTGGATGCGTTTGTTGATCTCTTTGGAGGTGGACAGCCATATGTTGGGCAGTGATCCGTTGGTGAAGGCGGCGAGGATCTGCGAGAAAATAAAATAAGAAAACAGGTCAATCGGGTACTTGGTGCCAACAATAGAAAGCTGTTTAAGAAACACTTACACCGTTCATGTCAATGGCATTCCCAAATGCAAACTCTGGGGTCCAGGTTCGATTAGTCTTCAGGATTTTGGGGGGCTCAGTGTAGTCAACTTTGCTCTTTTTCTGAGGACAGATGAAGAAAGTTTCGATGTTGTGTTTGAGCAGAAACTCGTTCCTGTCGCGGCCGTGGCCAGCTTCGGTCTTGTAGAGGCCTCCCAGACAGTCCAGAGTCGCCCTTGAGATGTGGATGCGTCTAGAAGAGAGAGAATAGAAGCAGAGAGGATTATCAGCAATGTACAAAATAATGTTTTAAAATCATAACGTGAAGATTGTAGAAGTTGTGAGAAAACCGAGACAAACTTCTATCTTTGACTACAAAATGTGCGTATGTCATTTTTAACACAGCTTAAAAATCAAGACAAAGACCGTTGGAAAACGTTACTCTAAACACTATGTTTCCGTAGCAACACACTGACACTGTACAACTGTCACTGTGTCAGTGTGAAGGTGAAACATGTCAGAAAAGGCACATAAAGTTGACTGCTAGTGTTAAACCACACAATGGAGAATTCTGCCCTTAGAAGATATTTTCTATTTGAATAATCATGGCATCAATTCAGAATGCATTTGCTTTTCTGTAAATGACAAAGAACTGACAAGCCTGTCAAGTGTCATCTAAGGCAGAAAACCAAAGCTCGATTTCACAAACTTAATTATGTTTAAAATGTTTCAGAAAATTAATTGAATCCCAGCTGAAAATATAGATTATTGAAGCAAGGGACACATTTTGACTAAAATATTCACTTGTGTCTTAAGTATTAACATATCTAATGAAAGGTCAAGACTTTTTTGAGGCACTTTATTATCATTTTTATTCAATTTATTGACATAGACAGCAATGGAGGCATAACAGTTGGATCTAAGTGGATGAATAGGAGAATATGTCATGAGTTTTAATGACTGTAAACTATTCTACTTCTTACTCAAATACAACATATTTTGCCCAAAAAATGTATGATGCCGATTATTATAAAGACTTTATCGATCCCTTGGTGTAATTTTAAAGTTACCTAGCAATATATTCAGTAGAAAGCAGCAACCTTAAACCAATACACATTTTAATATAATTTACATTATTTTGCAATGAGCACAATGAATACTTGTGAAGATAATACACTATTATTATGACTTTTAAGTTAAAGATCTGGGTACCACTTTACAATAAGACTACCCTTATAAAGGGTTTACGAATAGTTTGTAATTAATTTATTAATTAGGTTGTGAACACTTTATAAATCATTAATAAGCTTTTATAAGACATGAAATAAACAGGCAACTGTGACCGGTTGCTTGCCAAATAGTGAGCTCACATTTATCTGTACTGCTAAGCCTTATTAGAAATGGTTGTAACTCATTAATACATGGGAATGTGTTTAACACTTTACAACAAGGCTCCCTTTTGGCAGTTATAAATGTTAGTAACTCATAAATAAATGGTCATAAAGAGATGCCAAGAAACATCAAGATGGATGGGGGGAGAATCAACTCTGTGAACAACAGATACCAAGGATGCTGGCTGATGAAGAAGACGAAGTAAGCTAGGTAGCCAATATAAGACTTAGCAGTACGGATAAAGGTGGGCTCATTATTTGGCAAGCTGACTAAGCCTTATATTGGCTACTTAGCTTACTTCGTCTTCTTCATCAGCCAGCATCCTTGGTATCTGTTGTTCACTGAGTTGATTCTCGCTAAGTAGCCAATATAAGGCTTAGTCATCTTGCCAAATAGTGAGCCTGTGTTGATGTATGTTAGAACTGGTATATAAATGGTTCTTAATGATTAAGTGTTTACAACCTAATTCATAACCTAATTATAAACCCTTTATGAATCCTTTATAAGGGTAGTCTTAATGTAAAGTGGTACCAAGATCTGTATACTTCTTGCATCACTGTCTGCTGGCACTTGCAAAGACCACTCACCCAGGTATGCCCCCGGCCTCCAGCATGTTGGCAATGCCCACGTCCCAGGACCAGACGTCAAACTGCCATTTCTGCAGGCCTAGCACCCCACACAGCACAGAGCCCGAGTGGATCCCAATCCTCATGTCCATGTCAAACTTCAGATGATTCCGCACGTACCTGGAGTTTGTGGGAAGTAAAGCCACCGCGTAAGACTAAAACTCTAGTTTTGCAGGACACAAGACGATGACCCCTGAAGAAGTCCAACGAATGAATACTATACGATACGATAATACTTTATTGTCAGATCAAGTCTGAACTTTTTCTTGCATCACAGCAGCTCCATTTGCAACATCAAGCAAGGACAAATATTAAGATATGATACAAGGAGTACACACATTTAATATAGATAGATAGATAGATAGATAGATAGATAGATAGATAGATAGATAGATAGATAGATAGATAGATAGATAGATAGATAGATAGATAGATAGATAGATAGATAGATAGATAGATAGATAGATAGATAGATAGATAGATAGATAGATAGATCTAGTGCTTCAGTCTAACTTAATACATCTTGGAACCCTGTATCTCCATTATATATTTTCATATTCACTGATCAGGATATGGTTGGGGTCATAGACAATGTTGTTGGCCATCCTCACTATGTTATTATGGTAGGCTGATTCATAGAGTTTCTGACAGGGTTGACCTACAGTCACACTGACCCTATAGCGTTGATCATGTCCAGGCCCAGCTCAACACAGTGGCGGGCATGGGCACGCTGCGGCTCAGGGACACCTGACACACAGTAGTAACAGTCTCCCAGGAGCTTTATCCGCAAGCAGTGGTGCTCCTGTAATGAGGAATGATCAAGACACCAGGAACAAGAGAAAATAAGTTATTGAAATAGAAAATATATTATCTAAAAACTAAAGGGGCTCTAATGCTCACATCTGCCAGTCGGTCAAAGCGCCCGAAGAGCTCGTTGAGGGTTCGGACCAGATCCTGGGCTGATAGTTTCATGGACATTAGAGTGAAGCCCTTTATGTCTGCAAAAAGGATGCTGCAACGTGAGAGCAAGAGTTATAAACTAAGTGGCTAAAACATTTAAAATGTATAAGGGGACTCCTGTGACTTCAATACTCAGACTTTTACACCACTGTTGAGAGATTACTGTGCAATATACACCTTAGATTTATCTGCTACCTCATTACTTGCTACTTATTTTTGTTACTTGTGTGTCTAATTATTTGATTTGTATTAATTAAGGTATGCTTTCCTCTTTATGTTATTCCACTAATGTTATTTTTGCCTTTTTGTCTGCAGATTAGACCCTTTGCTGTAACGTTTTAAATTCCCCCACATCTGATTCTGATATAAATTCATCTGTTTCAACAGTTTGGCTTTGACTGCATCTAGGCCAAAAAAAAAACATCTATCTTCTGTACGTAACACTTACAAAGGTTTGGCTTTAAGTGAAGCTAATACGATAGCACATAATGTGGTTGAGTTTATAGGAAATGTATCTACAGGATTCTTTCTTGTGTTTCTTTGTTTCATGGTTAAATCCACTTATTGTAAGTTGCTTTATATAAAAGCGTCAGCTAGGAAAATCTAATGTTCGATTTGCAAGATTGTAAAGAAAATTAAGAATTTGCTATTCCAAAGAATCCCAAGTGCTATAAAAAGAATTAACAGCATCCATGAGCAATGTATTTTGTGTGTATGTGTGTGTGTGTATGTGTGTTTTTTTGTGTTTGTTTGTGTACCTGACGTCCTTGTACTGGTGGATGTAAATCTTGTGAAACTCATGAGGATTAAGCTCGTCTACCATAGAGCTTATGTCAGCGATCATCTCCAAGGCAACAAAGCGAGGCAGGATCGACAGCACCAGACGCTCCTGTGTGGACAAATAATAAACTGTATTTGCAAAGTATAGCTTCAGCACGTATAATGCTTGCTAATTCACAGGTTTAGAAGATAATTCAGGACTAATCTTTTGGAAAGTTTAGATGAAAGAGACACCAGTCAGTGGTGTTAAAAAAGCATCATCGTCTGACCTCTAGCTTTATGCAGCAGTCACCTACCTGTCTCTGGTTCTCCTGCTCTAGTTTGAGGCGACCCTCAATGCAGCGCCGCGTCTCCAGGAACACCTGTCTCTGGGCATGGTCTGTCAGGTAGTGGATGAACAAGCCGGCTGTGTTCATACCTAGGTACAGCAGGCCTTTGGCAAACACCTGCATGCAAGAGAGAATATGTATCATCGAGTTGATTTTAACCAGGTAAACCCAAAGCATGTAGGGTAAGGAAAAAGATAGGAAATAGGAAACTGGTTTTTCTTTAGGGATCTCAGAGAGAAATGTTTATACTTAAAGGACTTGTGTACAAAATATGATTAGCTCTTGATACATGAATAGACAAAAGGTTTGTTCTGCAAAATAAGATGGCATACTAAAGTGAGATTTTTTACACTAAATGTTTAGGCATAGACAGGCATTACATTCCATCACTATAATATATGCCTTTTTATCCGTAATACATTTGATTTTATAGTATAGTTAAACATAAAGGAATGTAACTAAATCTCAAAAGCTGATTTCCTCACCTTTCTCAAGAGCTCGGCATCATTGTAGTGGCGCACAATCTCCACCAGAAGGTGAAGTACTGAGGTGAGGGAGCCGGCGCACATGGCCCACAGCAGAGGTAAGGGCAGCAGCGTGTAGGTGGCGAACAAAGTGAACAAAACATACCACGAAGGGTCTCTCTCCAGTCCATACACCAGTCCTCCCAGCACCTGTGTGGTCTGAGACATCCAGCTAGCCAGGCCTGCGTAGTTAAGCCACCCAGGGGTCATGTAGTCTTTGCAGGTTAACACAACGACGCACAGCGCTATAGCTAACAACATGAAAACGCCTGTGAGGACGCCACGCAGAGTGTCTGGGACCCCATCAGGGGCCAGGGCCAAGTACAGAAGCAATATGTGTAGCTTGGCCATTGCATCAATTACATTGGTGATGGCCAGAGAGTTGCGTCTTTGGTGGGAGTAGTGTTGCTGGTAGAGTTTCTCCAGATCCCGAGACCTAAATGTGTGCCTCAGGCTGGGAATGTAGACTCCACGAATTGAGTGGCCCCAGTTTTTAAAGAAATCGGCATCGCTGGCGTATTCGTTACATGTACTCCTGGCACCGTTGTAGGAGCAGGTTGAGCCGCGGGATTGCAAAGGGTGCACTCTGATCGAGGAGGCCCGACGTTTGGTGACCCCTCGTGAGGCCTTGTTGCGGATTTGTCTGTTGATCTCATTCATGTAGGTATCCGTCACAGAGATTTTACTTGCTGGCTCCAAACCCACCTGCCAAGATGACAGAAAATTATATGTGTTTACTCACATTTCCCATTCTCATTCTTGCTGCTTACCTTTATTCCTTTACATGACAGAAAGGTTGTAAGGTTGTCTATTTGTTGGCACAGATATATGAGCAGGATGGGCTAAGTCTCTTTAAAGGGTTGGTCCACCAGATTTACAAACCCTAACTTCATTTTCTTTAACCTTTTTTTAACCAGAAAAATCCAATAGAGCTTAAATGTCTTTTAAAATATTGATCTGGCCAAGCAGGCAACAAAGTCTATGATGTGCACACATTACATTTAAAAACATAGAATTCAATCTCAAACAATTTATAGAAATGATGAGTGAAAATGTGTCCACGCAACACAATAGTTCAAGTAAACAACACAGACAAAATCCCTATGCATTGAAGCATGAAAAGTTTTTGTTTTGGTTTAACATGCAGGTCATTCCAAGAACAAGGGCAATAAGGAAATAGACCCCTTTTTTCCAGTGTGTTATTAGATGGAACACTGTAGGTGTTTTGAGAAAAAATTCATAAACAATAAATATATATGTTCACGGGTTACTGTCCTGTCATTGCCTGAATATACCAATGCAACTACCTATCCAAGTAGTAATTGAATTGAATTATATTTGTTCATTAATTATATGTTTCAGAATTTGGAGCACCATGTAACTCCATTCACCGCCATCGTATACGAGCATTGGCATAAATATCAGAGACAGATTCAATCTAAAAACAGTGGGAAAGTACTGTGAAACCATGTGACAAAGTATAGCCTTGGTGTTTTGTCACATAATTCATGTTCATGATTTTGCTGCGGACATTTTCACAGAAATTAAACATGTTTTTCAGTTAAGGTTATCTGGTTTGTGTAAAATGAAGCAGTGGTTCAGAGCATGTCCATCACAATCCTCATAATCTTGAAGAGGAATATGTTTAAAACAATAGGACACCAAGCAGTAAAAGACAACAGTATTATCTAGAGTTAACAAATCCACTGATGATTATGTATCACCTGGGCGCTGAGCTCCTGCTGGGTAATGATGTGTTTCACAGCATTCTGCCACAGCTTCGTTTTCCTCCGCAGCCCAGGGGACAGGGTGGCGGTAAGGCAGGGCGGCTCACGCAGCTCCATGGGGCGGACTACTGTCGTCTCGGCAAAGGTGACCATGGTGGTGAGTTTGAAGGACCTCATCCAATGCTTTCAGATCATGAGGAGGCAGCACCCTGATGCTGGAAGAGTGGCATTGTTGGGGGTGAATACAAAGAGGATAAGATGGTGATTAGTGAGGGGTTTCACTTGCTTTTCTCACAAATATAATGGACATTCATTTTTTAAAAGGGGCACTCTACCAATGTTATTCATTAAGTTCAGTATTGTTAGTACTCAGCCCATGAGAACAACTGCATAACTTCCTCTTTGGCTTTGGAGGAGCTTTGTCAAGAAGATAACCCTAGTGATGTCACAGTGAACTCATCAGGATAATCTCAGCGGGGGCTTGGAGATTAAAACATTACAACTAAAAGTCTTACAAACTGCAGGTGTGAAGTTGGAAGGGTGTCGCTGCTTACCAGGCGGAGAGGGCTAGCATTTTCAATATATTATGATTTTTAGTTGAATTATGTAGGAATGCAGGATTCGTTTGTATAGCTTGATATCAGCCCCAGCTGCTGAATAGAACACTAGTGGTACGCAATTTAGGCGTGTTTAGCTGATTTAGAAATGTTAAACATTCTGAAACAGATTTTAAAAAGACAAAAAATATCAGAAGTACATTAACATGAAAATAATTAAGCTTACTATCATCATTTTTGGCTTTATTCAAATATGTAACCAATCTCTCTTTGAAAATAAGTTTGTAGGTACAGTAGTATATGTAGGCCTATATATTTGTATGAGATTTTAAACGAACGTTTCAAAAGATTTTGTTGCTTGTTGGTTTGAGACAACCGTTTTATACCGATTTTGCTGAATCATGATCATTTTTGATCATATTTTGTCACTGTGAATATACAACAATTGATGTATAGCTTTTGTGGCTCCTGATTAACATTGACAACTCAATAACACCTCACATGAAAAAAAATCCTATAAGAAGCATATCAAAGCCTCGTTATTGTTTAAACTCTTTTCAACATTTAGATTTATGTGGTTATGCTTGACACATTTAGCATGTTGTAAGAAGCCCATGATGAAACGTGTTTGCACAATGTGTGCCAGAAGAAACGCAGCTTGCCAGCAAATTATCCGGAGGCCAGATTTAGACGTGAGCTGGTTAAGGCTCCGAGTTAAACTCCTCCAGGTCCTTCTGTCACTAGCTGTCCCGCCCAGCCACTGTCCATTGTCAGCGGTCTGATTGTTCACTTTTCATCATCACTGCACGAACGAATATGATGAAACATATTATTTTAAAAGATCTGCCTTCCTCATTAAGGCTTTCATTATGGCAGCTGAAAATCTTCATCCTAAAATGGCAGACTTGTTGATCACACTGTTCTCTAATGTAAAACAAAAACGTATTGATTTAGATTCAAGCACTATTTGATTTCAGGCTCTCTATGATAAAATCCACAACTCTGCTGGTAAAATAAGAGTTACAAAGAAATAGAGTAGAATTTCTGACAACTCAGGGGAAAAGTCTTGAGAGGTTAAGTCTTAAGCAACACTTGTAGTATTTCCAACACCTTCATTCATAAACACATGTTGGCTTGCGGCCACAACTGACCTTTAATGTTTTACATATTGTGTATCCGTGCATCATGTCCACCATTGGCAATAGGATATAGTCTTCCAGCCCATGGTAATCCACTTTTGCTGATTCCATCGCACAGGAATTGCACACAGATCTGAAAATTAAGGCATAATCCATGAAGGGGAAATGATAGTTGAAAAAGTCCACTCTGTATAGATCCAGCCAAGATATGTTGAGTCGTTCTGGCAGGAATGTAGGTCATCACATGCACTGTTTTGAAATGAAGTCAACAACTGCACTGAAGGAGAGCAGCAGAAGTGAAGAGTGCAAAGAGGATTTGCCAGTCAGCAGCCACTCTCACTGGCCTACAAAGCTGATCATTGGCACCAGGACAACTTTAAGATAATTGCAACGCTGTCAACCTTTGACCGAGTCAACTTAACCTTTAACATCAGAGTTGACATTTTATTGAAATAGAATTAGAATCAATGCGTTTTCATTGGCTCTCTTTCATACTCTCCATATTTATTTTTCATTTACTCCCATTCAAAGAGATTAAAAGCAGTGTTAATGCCTCAACATTGCCTTCATGCTCTTGGCTATGTCAATATGCATTAGAGCAATAAGAGTAAAAAGTTAAAACATTACCTAAAAGCCTACAAGGCCAGGCTGTTCAAGCATGACGCTGAATAATCACAGACATGAACAGCACACTGAGGTGGTATACTTTTTCAAGATCACAATTTTTTTCTCCAGACCTGATTAAAATGCTAATTTCACACAATTATATTTGTGCTTGACGTCACTTCCTCATACTCTGTGGTTGCTTCTTGATTGGCTTAGAAACACTCTAGGGCAATTGTTAAGGCAAGTATAACCAGTGTTATATCTGCTTTTTGAAGACAGGATTGTCGAGGACAAACAGGTTATATATCACACAGGCTCCGCCCTCTACTGGACTCTATGGGTACTACTCTCTATCATGCTATGCGGGCATTCACCTACTGAGTAGCATAAACGTAGGCCCACAGTATATAAGGCGGCTACGCCTCCCGACTGTCATCCTTTTTCTCTTCGGCAAGCAGCAACAACTGAAGCTAAACGTAAAAGAAGATAAAGAAATAGGAAAATAATATGGACTCCTTGAACCTCGGCCTTGCCCTACATGCCCTGGCTTAATTGCGGGCACTGATCCCCACCGCTTGTGCTTCGAGTGTTTTGGGGCCCGACCATGCTGTGGAGGGCACAATCCGCCCTTGGGGGTGGACGCATTAGCACACGAGCCATGGCCAAGAAAGCTGCTTTACGCCTTTCCACCGCTGCATCTCATTCCCCCCCTCCTGGAGATTGTGAGACGGGAACGTCTGTCAGTCATCCTAGTGGCCCCAGGTCGCCGCTTGGCGCCGTGGTACGCGGAGGTGACACAGATGATGGTGGGCCAGCCCTGGACGATTCCTCAGGTCTGGGGGGCGCTGTCTCAGGAAGCAGGTGCAATAAGTAAGTAAGTAAGTAAAACTTTATTTATATTACAGTACAGCAGTGGTTCCCAAACTTTTTGTGCCCAAGGCACACCAAAGGACAAGTAAAAATCTCAAGGCACACCTATTGTGCAAAATAGCCCTTATAACACGTGTTATCACTCATATCATGTAAAATATCTGTAAATGTGCATAATTATTTACTAATGCCAAATAAAATGTGACAAAGACAACTATATTACTCATGAAATATTTATTTATTCCTCCCCGCAATGGGACCTGCTGTTGGTGCTCGAGGTTCTGGTCACAGAACCATTTGAGCCTCTGGAGTTCTCCTCCCTGAAAGCACTGTCATGGAAGACAGCATTGCTACTTGCCTTGACTTCGGCCAAGAGAGTGTCCGAGCTGACCGCTCTGTCGGTGCACCCAAGTTGCCTTTTGATCCGGGGTGACCGTAGCAGGGCGACACTCAGACCGAACCCCTCCTTTGCTCCCAAGAGCCTAAGGAGTTCGTATCCCAGTAGGTGGCTGACCCCCCCCCTGGGATAGAGTGCACTTATGTTTTTCCCATGCTCCTTAGGGACCGTGGGAACATGATGCGCAGTAAGCTCCATGCAGAGTCTTCCGCACTATGTTTCCATGCACACTCTACACGAGGTAAGCGTGTGTGAGTGTGCCAAGCTGCGGCCCCGACTTCTCCACGGTCACAACCGGATGGGAGGAAGTGGGGGTGCGGTGGCTGTTAACCAAAGGCCGGTCAGGGGCAGTGTGATGGGTCGATGTTGTTGAACGACAGGGCGTTTATACATCGGGGCTCCACCCACTGTACCCATAGAGTCCAGTAGAGGGCGGATCCTGTGTGATATATAACGGGGGGTTACGTATTGTAACCCTAGTTATATAAACACAGGCGGAGCCCTCTACCTGGGGGCCCTGTCTTTCCTATGCCGCTCGCTGAAGAGGGTGTAGGATGACAGTCGGGAGGCGTAGCCGCCTTATATATTGTGGGCCTGCGCGCGCATTCAGGTAGGCTCGCCCCGATTGGCCGGCTACGTTTATGCAACTCAGTAGGTGAATGCCCGCATAGCATGATAAAGAGTAGTACCCATAGAGTCCAGTAGAGGGCTCCACCTGTGCTTATATAACTAGGGTTACAATACGTTACAATTCTGCCATGCTTTATCATTTGTTTTCTCTATAACACAGACAAAGTCAAACGAAAGAAATGTAACTTTTCTTTCCTCTTCCCTATATACAAAAGTTGGTCATTGATTGATTCGTTGAGTCATTTTCTTTATTGAGTCTAATTGAAGATTTTAAAAACAGTGATATAATTTGCTGCTTAGTGTCTTCACTTCAGTCTTCTTCTGATTTCTGCTACTTCATGCTGGTTAATGTTAACACAAGTCAAGTAGTAATTCTGTAACAAATGCAAACATTTTCTGGTCATTTGTTGTATTGTAGATTTTAATAGCAATTTGAGCCATATATACAATTGCCTTGCAATTTGCTGTATTTGGTGATGGTGTTTCCTAATTTAAAGTGTAACACATTTATGAATTACTCTATTTAGACCAACAGTATACTTTAAACCTTTCTTTTTTTTTATTCACTTATTTTGTCATTTTGTTTAACAGTATCTTTTTTTAAATCATGACATAACCACAACATCGGCGATTGATTGTATCAGTAAGATAAGAAGAGAGGAATTTAATTCTCAGGAGGAACCAAAAGCAAAAAAGGAAATATCAGGCACAGCAATATCAGGAACAAGTGTGTCGGAATAGACAACCATCCCTCAGTATTGATGAGGAAGAGCACTACTGGGCTGATAGCATCAACAGGTCTGGGGTGCCTACGGGTTTAAGCTGGTTAAAGTTTTTGAGACGTGCTTTGCTAATTGCGTCCAGGCCCTTTAGGCTGATCTAATGGATTCCCATCTGTCCAACCGTGACTGCATGGCTCAGACCTTTCTTGCTGATTACTGTGCATCTAAAAATAGCCAAAGGGTCTAAGGCAATTAGTTCTACAGTACTATAACTGCTAAAACCAATACCAGCGTCTAACACTTGGTAAGTATATAATAAAGCACATTTATGAGATGAAACAGAAGAGTTATTCATTGGTGATCGTTCTGATATAACACAGCCCTTGAGTTCATAATGGGCAATTTAGGTTAATGCCTGTGAATGTCATTCTACTGCACAAATCTGTCATTTAATTTAGGTTCTCCATTTGAAGGGCCCTTGAGCTTGTGTCCACCTGAGGGGGGTGTTAGGATGAATTAGTTTGCTAAGGGAAAAAACATAATGCTAATTATGCAATAAGCCAAAGGGGTCCGTGATTTTAGAACAGATAAGGGGCGTTGTTGAGCATGATGCAAAGTAAGGTATATTTAAGGCTAGCCGCTTTGGCTGTCCTCTAATCAGCTGATTCACACACATACTCACGCCAGACCTGAAAAAGAACTTACCCATTAACCTTGGCAAACGTTTCACTTGAGTTGGACACAGACCTATTAGACCTATTACCGTCTATTGGTGTTGTATCACAGATGCACTGTGTAGTCATGTGTGTGTCGTAACACTCTTAGAGTTCAATAGGATGGTGATTGCATGATAGCTTTTGTTGGTAGTCTCACAAAGCTCTCAAAGGTGAAGGTGTGTACAGTTCAACTAGGGACAAGGTAAAACAAAGATGAAGACCAGTGCAGAGATTTTGCTGGAACACTTTCACGATAATTTTGGGTTTTAAAATCTTCAATGTGTTGAATCAAAGAGTTTTGCCAAATCAACAAATAAGCATGCAAAGGATTATGACACAATGGATTTCAGCCCATATTCACACACATTGAGGTCCTGTATGGTAGGGTGATAATAAGGAGCACTGGGCAGGTTTATCTTGTAACTTTATCTTGCACTATGGGTCCTTATGACCCTGCAGGAATAAATGCCTATTTTAAAATGAATAAAGCTTCCTTCAATGTAAATTATATGTCCAAAGCTAATGTAAAGACTTTTCCTTTATCATTTTAATAGGATTTTGATAGAGCTCTGAGCTTGTTCGACAAGAAATGTAAGGCTCATAGCCATCATGTCATCTGGGCCTCTCCCCAATAGGCCCATGTTATAATCCATCCATGCAACAATCCAGAAATACCTGTCAGCTTTTAGGACTCCCCATTTTCTGCACAGTCCTATCATTAGCTCAACATAAGTAAGATGGTATTATCCTTTTCAAAAAGAGTGCCACAACATTTGCTATCTTAAAGGGGCTGAATAATTAAAGAGATGACAGCAGCAGAAGACAACAAAAATAGTTTCACATAAACAACTCAGGGATCTGATGGCTCAGTGGGGACCCTGGGAGTTAAATGCTTTAGTGGTCTGCCGAGAAGCACCAAGTCTGTCGCCAAGACTGGTTTACTCATGGCAATCTCCAAACTGATTTTCCAGACTCACTGCTGTCCCCAACTGGTAGAAGAAAAAAATATTTCCAAAAGCAGGATGTCCCATCCACAGATACAGAGAATAAAGAATACATATTTTTGATTAATTCTTTTATAGCCTGATAGTCAGACTGAATTTCGTTTCACTCATAAATAATTGTTATGTATTCTTGCATTGCTGAAAACAAATTAGGCAGGACATTGTCTGAATGGCTGCACTCTTAAACAGCTCTGCAGAAATTAGGATATATGATGTAGGATTGAATCATTTAAAAGGAAATACAAAATAGGTTAAAATCTAAATCCACTGATTATGAGAAAGCATGTTGTTGACCCAAAAGGTAGGTAGGGATATCATTTAAAATGAAAGTGTCTAACCATGGGATAATTGTATTCCTCTGAAAGCAATGTATTTCAAACACAAGATTAACACTGTCTTTTTTTTTTTTAAATACTTGAAATTAAAGTAAGCCTGTATCACCTAACTTTTCATATTAGACTACTATCAGAACTTTGTGACGTTGTGTTTCTTTTCACACATAAATAATACCATTGACTGTAATTTAGCAAATGATAATGTGGATAGTAGCCTACCCTATCAGCAACATTACTCAATTCATATAGGATATTTATAAAAATTACAATACATTCATATTGCTGTAAAATTAAAGCATTTGTCAAAAGTAATGACATATTAAGTGACCATATTGTCAAAAATAATGGCAAAGTTTCTCATGAATATGGGTTGCGGTTGCGATGTAATTTTTTCAAGATTGTTTCTCATAATTATATGTAGCCTACAGGATATTCTTTTTGTCCTCGCATTGTCGTAAATTGTCTTCCATAAACATCTGATGAAGTATTTGCATGATATGCAATCAATCTTTCTAATGTGTTTCGAGTAGTCTGTATTTGTTCAAACATGACAAAAGCTACTATCCAGAGGTGGGCTGTCACATAGTACTAACAGCTAGCCAGTAACAGCTGTCAACCAGAGGAACAGTAAGTAAGGCTGTTACTAAATGTGTCTTTGAATAGTTTACCTTTAGTCAAAGGGGCTGAAGGGACCCGCACGTATGCCGCACACTTTAAGGATTTTCCTCACTTCATGGTACGTATTTTTTTTACATTTATTTACGTTGTTGTGATACGCGCAGCCAGGGCAATCTCGTTTAGCAAGTCAGGCAGATAGCTAGCTAACGATAGCATACTTTGCTATTAGCATAGATGAATGCTAGCTCTGAATTATAGTTACTTTATGTAGATATATATACACAACATATACATATATAACCGTATGTTTTCATTACGTCTAAACCTTATTGAAATCCAGGGGTTAAAACACTATCAGAGAGCACACATTTAAATGAAAACATGTAACAGCTAGCTATGCTAACATTAGCCTTACATTAATTGACTGGAAAGTGTCCTGATTTCTGTCACAACAATATTTTATAAATACACTCTTGCTTTTCACGGGTCAGGTAAACTTTAACACCGGGTATCTCCCGTTTTTATTTAGGTTCAAATATCTTTTTAATGTCAACAATATTTATTAGCTCATCGGCTAATTTGGGCATACTAACTTCCACAGGCCAAAGACAATCCAGCGGTTTTCCTGATTTTTCGAAGCGCCGTTGGAGACTCAGTTTGGGGCTGAAGTGCCTCAAACCTCAGTGCCTCCGTGGACCTGGAAGAGCAGCGCCGCCTTGTGACAAGCTTCCAGCATGACAGGTGGGGAACACCACACTATTAAACACCTGTACTATACCTGAGGACGTATTTACGGCACTATACATTCAATGTAGCACACTGCTGAAGAAGTTGGATTAATACTAGTTGTATGAGCTGCCTGATCCCAAACCCCATATGGAGACAGCTGATTGTGAACATGTTTAGTGAGAGAAGCTCTGCATCAGTGCTCTAGGTGTTGGTGTGAATGATGTGTCTATTCCCGAGTGTTATGTGTGAATTTGCACAGAAAAATCACTCACCAGACATTTTGCCTGTGTTGGCATCTGCTGATAGATACATTCCTTGAACCTCAAACCCACTGACTGAATGGCTGTCCCACAGTGCCCCTCTCTCTCCATCCTCCTCTCTCTGTGTCTCCCTGTCCCTTTCACCCAGAGAGAGACTTTGGGTGGATAGTGAGTACCATTGTGTCAGTGAGATGTTTATTAATGAGAGAGGCGCACACAGAGAGCAGAGCTGCTATTGACGGACTAATCGCTAATCTCTTCGTTAATACTTCAATCTGCCTATGAACCAAGATACATCACTGAGAAGCCTCAAGACAGGGACATGCAAGCTGGTGGTCTGCAGGAAGTACATTTGGGAATTTGTTCCAGTTGGAAACTTTTTGAAAGTTGAGTTTGAGTTGGCTTTCTGTTGTGTGTGTGTGTATGTATGTGTCTAATGTTTATTGCGTCCAAACTGGGAAGTTGTGGATACATGTCAGTGAGTATAGTATTGAATTGAGCTTTTCTGTCAAGGAATTTTGAAGTAGTTGGTGGTAACATTTTCCGTTAGCGTTGATAGGTAATTAAAGAAATATATTATAACCAGAGAATAAGGGATTTGTAGTCTGCTGCTTATTCTGTTGCATTAAGGTTTTCAGTTTTAGCTTTTTGGAGGTTTACTGTGTCGATAAAAGGAGTAGTGTGTGTCTGTGTGTGTGCTTGTTGGTTGTTGCATGTGTTTGCCTGCCATGCCCTTGCCTGCGCCTGATGTCCCGGCCTCTCAGAGGCTGGCACTGGACTGTCGTACCCTTCTGGACCATCGCATTGGCAAGGGTGAGTGATAACACCGCTTCCTCTGTTCTCTCTCTGGCTCCTTCTCCGTCTCTTGAGTCGCTTGAATAAGGAATTATTTCACTTAAAAGGTGCCTTCTCTATATGCTTCTAAAATATGCCATGTTGTAAAAATAACTTCAATTGAATGTTGGAGGTCTGATTTGCTATGAGCCACTTCCTGTGTTGTAAAATGGATGCAGTTTATTTTATCGATAAAAGAGGAACTTAAACCCTTGAGTAAGCCAACATAAAGAGGAACACTGGCTGTGGTATTTGGCACAGGTTGCTGTTAAACAGTGTTGGGTCATTCATTTCTTGTGTGTGTGTGTGTGTTAATGTTGACTTTCATATAATTTTACACTGATAAAATCTCTGTTTGAAAAGAACACTGTTTGTTCTTCCATCAGAATAAAAGAGATGCTTATAGCTCCAAAGGGAATATTGCTTATATAGCAAAATGTCCGGCATGCAAGATGTAGGAAAACAAAGCTTTATTGTAAATGATTATGATGGTTAATTATTGAAGTGATATTGTACTGGAGTCCTGTTATTTTATCCAATAAAATAGAAGTTCACAGTAAGTATAGAGAGGAACTTCAGCTATCTCTTTATAATATGATTTTGTAATGTAATATCATTTAGTATAACATCAAAAAATAAGATAATATATTTTTTTTTATTAGCTGCCCAACTGAGAACTATTTTTTTTTTCATTCCATACATTTAATTTCAAGCACTCGTTCATGCTTTTACAAGGACAATGCAGCATCTCCAGGTTTATAGTTTCACTGAATTTGTGTGCATTAGAGCCAATAATGTGGATGTCTGGGTTTAATGTTTGTCACAGTTCTATGGTTGTGTTGTGTAATGTAGACAAACACATTGATTTGAAAGTGTTGCTCATGAGTGAGCCAGCTGCTGAATAGTATTGTATTTATTTACAATGGTTTTGGAAAATTAAACCTGGAAGAGATTGAGTCAATAGGATAATATTGAAAATTATAATATTTCACGGTTTGAAATATAAAGAAGCAAATACCAGTAAACATGGTTTTATTAATAAAGACATTTAGGTATTTGGCTAGTAAAAAAAGGAAAGACATTTTGTAGAAAGTTGCCTATGCATATAGGGAAAACTGAAAGTAAGTAGAGCAGGAAGCATGCATGGATTAATGACGGAGAGGAGGGAAAGGGTGATGCTGGTAGGGGAGGGAGAGAGGGGGAAAGGGAAATTGCGTGGGTGGGAGGTCTTCTCCCTTTCCATCCCTGTGGTGCATATTTCTTTCTTATTCTCTCTACATCCGCCTCTTGTCTCTGTTTCCTTCTATGCAACTGAGAAGAATTATCAGAAGTTGGGGGGGGGGGTGTGTTTGTAGGTGTGTGCCTGCATGTGAAATCTGCACAGCCCCCTTCAGAAGGAGCGCTGTTGCAGAAGACGAACAGGAAAATCCAAGGTCATCACGGCACGCTTCTCTGACGTTGCCTTTCAACCCCCTTTCGTGCGTGTGTGCCTGCGTGTGTGTGAGTGTCTGCACGGCAGGAAAAGTGTGTGTAATTCAGTGCATCGGTCCAAGCTCTGCACCAATCACGGTGCGCATTTTAGCTCCATGCACACGTGCAGGCATTTATACCAGAGTGAGCGGTGTGTGTGTTTGTGTGCGTTTTCAGTGCCTCTTGGCACAGCAGTGTGTCTGTATGAGCTACTGAAGCTGCATTGAGAAAAAATAACCATTTGTAGTGAGAGAGTCCAGCATCACGAAGGATGTACGGTAAGAATTACAATCATTCTTCCTATGTGTATTCGTGTGTGTGTGTTTAAGGCTTTGTAAGTATGCGAGTAATGTAAAGCATGCAGCGTTCAGCCAGTTTTCCTACATTCTACCAACACGTTTCCTCTTAGCTTTCTTGTGATAGACTGCAACTGACTAAAAGCGCATTATATGAGCTTGGACTATTATGAGGATACTGCTCTATTTAATATCAGTAATAGCTTACAAGGATACACCGCTTTGAAGATGTTTATTTTCGGTACCGGACACTTCTTTGGTCAGAACACTTTTTAATCAAATGACTTCCTTTGTTGTATTTGAAGTGATAACAGTATGTTCTCTACACTTGTAAAATATTCAGCTCACTGTTGTAGTTATATATGTATATATGTTTTCTTATTATCCTTTAATATTTTTCACATTTCTTAGCTATTTTGGGTTGCACATGATACATTCATGTTTCCTTGAAAACAGGTATAGTATATGTGCTGTTAGAAGTTTTAATTATTGTTACTTTTCTGTAAAACTTTAAGATCATGTTAAAATGCGTTTGGTGTTAGTGTTTTCTGTAGCTATGTTGTTTTTATTGACATGTTGATATATGGTTAATTGATTAGCGCTAATAAAAAATGTAGTTAGCTTTGCTTTGACTTTCGAGACTATTTATGGAAAAATGCTTGGCTAAGTAGGCTAACCCTGCAGACTGGAAGAACTAGCTCAGTAAGACAGAGTGCGTCGCTCTGCTGAGCTCCTGTATGGAAATGTGGCTCTCTGGGCTTGAGTCCCTCATAGCCCAGTTTCAGTGCCTGTTTGACTGTGATTCATAGTGTGTCGGATCGGCCTTGTGTCATGAGGATTTGTTGGCAGCTGGGTCTGTACATCAGTATGTTGGTCGCATAATACCAGCCATGTTCGCTTCCACCCACTCTCGGTGGAGTGTGTGCTTTGAATAATACTTGCACATGGATTTATGGTTGAAAATGATGTACTGTATATGTTTCTGCGTGCAGCGGGTCTAAAGCCTGAAGATACAGAAGGAGAGAGGGGGTAGATGGATGTTGTGGTAACACACGCAACACATTTGAATTGCTGTTATTATCTCCATGCCAGTGACAAAAAATCACATTTCTTCCTCTTTGTCACGCTTAATGCTGTCAGCCTCTCCTGACCGATACCCACCTCCTCTCTTCAGCTCTATACAGCTCTCCCAAACTCATTGAGGGACAGCTTATGTGCATATTGGCTGGCTGTTGAATCAGCCTTACACTTCCCTCTGCGTATCTACAGATTCTTGCGTGTGCTCGTATTTTACTTTGTGAATCTTCTGTTTAAAGACGTTTTGCCCGTCCTTGTTTGCTGATATAAAAATAGCAAGACTTGGTCGGTTTCCCCCCCTCTCCCTCTTATGTAATACTACCCCTGAAGGGCTACAGTCTTTATAACCATCATGAGAAGTATCATGTATTATGCACAGGTGTATACAGCAGCATGTAGGTGGCCACAGGGTTTATGCTCCCGTCTGTGTGCTTTCTGACTCTGGCCTGTATAACTTGCTTTGCATGACCCCCGGGTGAAGCTGATGTGTATTGATGGTGATGGTGCTCTGTCTCTTGCAGACACAACCACTCAAACATACAAACATGAACACCCATAGATCCTAAATGTGTTTTGATATGCTCCATGCAGGACTATATTTACCCTGTTTTATCAGCCACGTGACTTCTGGTCCAGCAGAGCAGCTCCAGGACAGCAGGTGCAGCAAGATATGCTACTTGTCACACACTCCTGTTTGTGTGTGTTATTGCAATAAGTTTGACTTTTATATCATCAAGATCAATTCCTTTTTATTGTGTTGCCAACAAGGCAGTAGCTCTATTTACACTCGGGAAGTGTGGAGGATTTTTAAATAATAAAGAAAGAAAAGTATTCCTTTTATTAGTCATGTTTTGTTTCTCATGCACAAACATGTCTTTCAGAGCTATGTATTTTCTTGTTTGCCTCTCCTTCTTCTCGCTTCCGGATGCATTTTCTCTCCCATCTCTCTATCTATCTCTCTCTCACCCTAATGTGGGAAGCGTTAAGCTGACATCCTGGGGGAAATGGAGAGTGTAATCTGTTAATGTACCAGCCCATTGTTACGGCTATAAAAACAACATTGTGATTGGCTGGC